GGGGACAGGGCCTTCCAGGCCCTAAATTTGACATACTCGAACCATATGTCGGTGTCTTATTACTCAAAAATTAGGAACATGAAACTTCTGCTGTTCGGTAACGGTTTTCATTAAAAGTTCGAATTTGGACAGATTGTTATGTAAAAATCAACGGTCTTAGCTATACTCATTGGAATATTTGAGTTTTTCATCTTGTTCTCATCAACATCAGACTTTTGCTTCTGAAAAGTGAGTTTTTGACTCATTTTGTAGGGTTATTATTACCGTTTTTTACAACGTTACCAAGTTTTTGGTAAATTTCCGTAAATTACCATTTTTTCCGGTAACGTTACCGTTAACATTACCGGCCGTCGCAACCCTATTCATGAGTTACCTCTTAGGGACCCATAAAAAAATATTTGAAAAAAAATATAGTTTGTGTCCTGTGGTTTTTGATTTTTTTAAAAGTCAATTTTTGAGCTACAATGCTCATCTTCGAACTCGATCTGAAATTCCCAGATCGCTCTCTCAATTCTTTCTCGAGTTATCGTGCGGACTGACAAACAAACAGACAGACAGACAAACAGAATGAAACTTTTTCGGTCAGTGGAGTACTGGGCTTCGCTAATCGCTCAGCCAAAAACACGCCTGAAGGGGCCTCAGCTCGATTACCAGGCAACATCTGCATACACGTATGTAATGCGGGTAGCCAGTTGGCCCTCTTCAGGCGTCTTCAAGCGCGTTTTTTAGATTTTCAACCATGTTCCAGGTTGCGCATTTTGACAGGCGATACTGCTATCGAAACGGTATGAGGTGCCCTTTAAGTCTGTGAAGAAAAAATCGCAACTTTTGCGGACTTCAATCGCCGCGCTCAAGTGACGCGGAACGAGACACTTAGGCCCCTGGCGTTGACGGGGCGACGGTGGTGACCAATTGCACTTGTCAGATGTAAAGTAGAACCCCCAAGGTCTCACTTTTAACCCTCGTCGACACCTCCGGTGGCGCGCAGTGCGCTCAGCTTTCCCAACAAGAAGCGATCCTCTTTCCCGCGCTCTCGGAGGGCGTTTCAAAAATCGAGTGGCGCGACCCCTAAACGTTGTCGACCTCAGACAACGACAGGAAATCATCGTTTAATGTCCTCTATTATTTAGCGTCCGAACCTTCTCAATTCGTCACTTCGACCTCCAATATCGGACAGGCTATTGAAGGGGATGAGCGACCGTGACTTCATGATCGGATTGTGGTTGAGCAGGGGTTGGAGGTGGGTAAAAGAGAGCAAGTGGTTGAGGTGCTTGAGGTTGTGGGGGTGGGGGAACAGGGGAATAGGTGCAGTCGGCCTAATTGGTGGCGGAGCCGGAGTTGTGTAAAGCCACTAACAGTTCTTCTTTGGTGGTGGTCGTAGTAGTTGTGACCTGCGTGTACAAGAAATAGCTTAGCTTGTTACTTGATAATTAAGTCCAGAGTCATTGGAAAATACAACTAAATTTAATTGGGACATGGGACACTATTGGTTCTTCAGAGTAACTGGTAGGAACAAATATTGAGCCGAACCAATGGCTAAGTAACAGTCTAACTTCATAGAAGTCGCCAACAAAGTGCAGAGCAGTCATGCAATATCAACATGAGAGGGTGAAAGGTGCACATTAACCCCGGATTATCCATTGATTATTAGCCCGTTTCACGGTATTCTCTCAAAGGCTCCAAAACACCGCGGTTCAAGTTAGCAACCAGAGAGAAAATTGGCTCTGAGTAAAGCTCGGCCACGTAAGCTACAATCGTGGACGACTGGGTGGTATTTGGACATTAACACTTCAACCATCGCATCGAACACGTGCTTCAAAGGCCTGAGCTAGACCAGCTGAACTAATGAAGAGGTTAGGAAACACGACGTCAAGGCACAAAATAGGTCAAAAGCATGTTCGGACGGAACATCTGGCTTACTTCATTTAACAAATATAAAAGATCAGGTAAACGAACTTTAAGTTGGGAAGAAAAACGCAGTAGAGACCCCGGGACCATTCTCATAGCCATAAGCTGGCCTTGTCTTACATGCCTCCCGTTTTTTGAGGAAGCGTCTTGTCTAAGAAATGTCCCTTGCATCAACTCACCTTTCTCACATACTCGAAGGGCTGATTGTGGTGGTTCATGATGAAACTACGAATTTAGCTGGACGAGGCCACGAGTGAATAACACCAAAGCGCTGCTGCTCACTGCTCACTTGCTACCACACTTTACACGATGAACTCGGGGTGGAATGGTGGAACGCGTGGAAACAAAAGGAGGTGAGCTTAACAGTTGTGACAACCATACCTATAATTTATATAAAATGTTGAAATGATTACATCATACAAAAAAAGTAAACCAGCATCTGTTGTGGTGCTGAAATTTAACTTACAAACCTCTACATTTCATTTTTCTGTATCTATACGTATTTATGATATAACGCGTCCAGGTTCTTGTCTGGAATGGAGTCTGTTGCTGTTGCTTTGGGGTCTGGAGTGGAGTCCTGGACCAACAATTGAGCAGTACCTTGTGGGTCTGCAACCAGCAGAAGATAACAGTAAGTATATTTCTCAACATATTTTGTACCGAGAGTTGACAGAAAAGCATTGAGACTTTCATAAATGCTCCCATCTCAAACGACATTTGGGACCTAACATTTCCAAATCTGCCGACTAACTACGAGTGATCAGGACTTCAAGGAACCCATTTTTGGA